GTAGCATTATATGTGAGCCACATTTGGCTCAAACACAGAAGAGCCAGTGCTACTGTGCCATATATTTGCCAAAACTGGTCCACATATGTTTTAAAATAACTGGGCCACATTAGCTTTAACATATGTGGGCCACATTTGGTTTACACTCAGATTTCCCTTCATCAGTTGTGCCACATTTTTGCCAAAGGTGGCCCACTTTTGTTTTGTGATATTTGGGCCATATTCATTATTTACCACATGGGCCAGTTTAGGGTCACATTCAGATTACACATTGCCATAAGCACCGCATCTTTGCCTAAAAAGGCCCACATGTGATTTGAGATATTTGGGCCATATTTTCTATTTTACATGTGGCCCACTTCAGGTTCACATCCATTTTGTCTGGGCCATAAGAAGGCCTACAGTGCCGCATCAATGCCTGAAGTGGCCCACATCCATTTGCTATCTGGGAAACTATATTAACAATGTCCGCCCTATATCAATATCTGCATCCTGGCCTATTCAGCGAGGCCTTTTGTTCAAGGGATCAGGTTTTTCCTGAAGCGAGCCCTTCTGCACCTTAGTACCCTGTATCTATGTCCTGACGGCAGTAGGGTGAGGTACCAATTTAATGGGTGTGTAATATCCTGTCCATTTGAAGTCGCCATATGTGTAATGGCCCTGTTATTTAATTCTGTCAAGTTTGATGTGGGAAGACCAATTATTTTGGAAGCTATGGTAGTTATACTTATGAATTTGGCAACAGAAACAGAGAAACAGGTGGATCAATATAGAATAATAGATTGAATCATGTTCTGATACAGCAGCAAAAGGAGACGAGGAGCAACATAAAGTCCTTTTAATTTACGGATGACTGACAGTCTTTGATGGCTCATTTTCTGAATGTCACTGGTGTGCTGATCAAAGGTAAGTTGATTGTCCAATGTTACCTCAAGGTATTTAAAATTATCGACTACTTCTATTACTTGGTTGTTAATGAGGACAGAATGCTGAGGTGAGGAAGAACTGATTATTAATTATTTTGTTTTGGTGACATTAAGATGGAGATATTACCCTCACACCACTGAGTGAAGTGTGCAGTGGTGTTGTAATAATCCAGTATAAAGTTGTTGTCTGTAATCAGAGCGAGGATAGCTGTGTCATCTGAGTATTTGAGGTATGTGGTCGTGGGTGATGGACTGATGCTATCATTGGTATAAAAAGGTGTAAAGAAATGGGCTTAGCACACAGCCTTGTGGTGCTCCAGTGTTGGTTGTAATTACCACCATTATAATTTGTCTCTCCTGGTGTATATGGCAAATAGTAAATAATTTCAAAGATTTTTTACACATCTCTTGTACATACTGTTACTGTCAGAAAAATATTAATTAATATATATTTTTATTTTTACCCCAGACTGAATGTTATAACATTTTTCACAAAAAAATATGAAGCAGCACAACTGTTTTCAACATTGATAATAATCAAAAATGTTTTTTGAGCAGCAAATCAGCATATTAGAATGATTTCTGAAGATCATGTGACACTGAAGACTGGAGTAATGATGCTGAAAATTCACAGAAATAAATTATATTTGACTGTACATCGACATAGTATATTCACTATTTTAAATTGCAATATTATATATTTCACGGTATTACTGTTTACTGTATTTACCATAATCAAAATCATCATCAATTGGAGCTCTTTTCTAAAAAAATGATAGGAAATTTCAAGCTCCTGCAAAAGGACAAATATAAGACTAATGGAAAGGCACAATAAAAGCAGTCCACATTCTGCACTACATTCCAAGTCTTCTAAACCATATACCAGTGCATTGTTTCATATGGACTGATATTATAACTTTAGTGATATTAAACTGTCCCTCTATGTAAAAAAGATGTGTAAAAATGATTCAAAATGATTTACCATTTGCCATATACACCAGGAAAGACATATTGTAATGTAAAGAAATGTGCCTGTCATTTATGGTGTGGACCGGGTGTAGTGGGCTGCTTTGTCCAGGGCCACTTTTTGGCCCCAGTCCGCCCCTGCTACGTACACTTACTATAACTCATTCTTTATATATATTTACGAAATGGGCCGGCCCACACTGTACAGCAGTCCACCGGGAAAACGCCGGGTGCTCCAGATGGCCAGTCCGCCACTGCTTATAGATAAGTCAGGAGAGATGATTGGGCAAGGAGGTGTCTATGCTCTTTCTTTGAGAATTTCTCTCCAGATTAGTGAGTTCTATTGTTTTATTGTTTTCTATTGTTTTTGATATTGTGTCGTAACAAGAAAACCATCCTTACATAATGATAAATTAATAATATTAAGAAGAGTATCTTCTGGAAGCACCTCTTCCAGTAGCTTTGTTGGTATAGTGTTCAACATACATATCGATTCAGATAATTTATAGCAGAGAGAGAAGGGAGTTGTTCCTCAAGGCTTATGTTAGTCTCATATTTTTTCTGAGGCTACTGAATCCAGTCCGCATCTAGAGGAGATGGTGGATCAGCACCTAGTGATGACCCCAGCTGCCCTGAATGTAAGCAGAGACCACTGCCAGTGCCAGAGACCACAACTAGACAAGCCATAGAGACAGATCCCCTGTGAAGACCTCACCGACTAGATAGCCATCTGCACAGAGCCTCAGCAAAGACCGTGAGAACCAGACGAGTCCTCTGCACTGACCCTGTGGCCAGCTTCCTCTCCTTCACCATATTATGCATCACAGTCATCAAAGAGAAGGAACTGGATGAACTTTCTGAATGATATCAATCCAGCCTGACTTGTGTTGCAGCCTGGACTTAAACTGCTGGTTTCATATGGCCAGAGGAGAGCTGGCCCCTGACTGAGTCTGGTTTCTCCCAAGAATTTTTTCTTATTTCTGTTACCGATGGAGTTTGGGTTCCTTGCCATTGTCTCCTCTGGCCATTGTTAACTGTTAGGCATATTCACTGATGTTTCTGAAGTTGATTGGATTATAACTGTATTTTTTTTTGTATGATACACTGTTTTCCAGGTAGAGGTTGCATATGATGTGGTCTACCACAATTGCATAACTACAATTAGTCTTGCAGGAAAAAAAAGATAAAGTCATTGTTTTTGCACAATATGTGTGTAAAGTGAAGGCTGTGAAATAAAAAAAGGGGTTTGTTCACACGTCCAGTTCACAGATGTTAAGCTCCTTAAAAGGCAAAGAAAATAATAATAATAATTATTCGATATTCGATAGCTTAATGTGTGGGACAGATGAATATCTGTCTGTTGTCAGTGAACTGAATTGATGGTTAAAACTGATGTTTACGAAAATGTTTCTTATAATTACTTTCATGTAAACGCTGTAAGAGCTACAGAAAAGCAGAGAAACAAAGAGGTTATGTATGATGTGGTCTACCACAATTGCATAACTACAATTAGTCTTGCAAGAAGAAATATAAAATCATTGTTTTGTGCAATATATTTGTAAAGCAAAGGTTGTGAAAGTACACACACACACACACACAAAATGAATTTGGTTCACACACTAAAGCTGAAGAAATTCAGACAACAGTGCTAATCGGCATGTACTGCATTAATATAGCCATAGGTTTGTGGAATAAGTGCATTTCATTAAAATAGATAATCACCAATTGGTAAAGTCACTGTGTTACTACACTATTGAATTCCATGGTATTCTTTATCAAGACAAAATAATAATTACAAAAAAAATCATCTGGTCCTTGGCAGGTCTTAAAGATTGTAAAATTAAACCTCAGATGAACAACAAACATGATGTATCACATCGTGTCATCATTTGTTTACCAAAAACTAGGCCAAAATGGAAAAGCCATCAGTGACAAACAACTCGGTTACGTATGTAACCCTCGTTCCCTGAAGGAGGGAATGGAGACGTCACGTCAGTAATGACCGACGAACTGTACTCAGAACCTTCCGACTCCGCGAGTTGCGACATGCGACGGGAGTGCAGACCATCTTGTCGGTTGATGTACGCAACAGTCGCAGTGTTGTTCGTCCGGAACAGCACGTGCTTGCCTTGTAAGCGCCCCTTGAGACGGTTCAAGGCAAGGCGCACTGCTAACAACTCTAGGCAGTTGATGTGCCAGTGCAGTTGGGTGCCCGTCCATACCCCCGACACTGCATACCCATTGTATGTGGCCCCCCAGCTGGTGGTATAGGCATCCGTGTAAGCCACAGCATGCCTGGAGACCTGCTCTAGGGGCACGCCTACCTGGAGAAACACAAGGTCTGACCATGGGATGAAGGTTTGGCGGTAGGCCGGTGTGACTCGGTCTCATATGAAGCAGCCCCAGGAGTGTAACTACCACTGCAGCTCCCATATGCCCCAGAAGCCTCTGAAATTGTTTCAGTGGGACCGCTGTCCTGCCCTTGAATGAATTCAAGCAGTTCAGCACATATGTTCGACCGAATCCAACTTCATACCGAGAAAAGATATCCTCTGTATCGGGGAGAGTTTGCTCTTTTCCCAGTTGACCCGAAGACTCGGTGCCGGAGCACCAGGTCCCTGTGTTCACACAACTGATCCCGAGACTGTGATAGTATAAGCCAATTGTCGAGATAGTTGAGAATGCGAACACCTTGCTCTCTGAGGGGAAAAAGAGCCCCATCCGAAACGTTTGTGAAGACACGGTGGGATCGGGACCGAAAATTTTGCTCTCTCTAAAAAAGCTCTTGACGTCGCCGAAGAGGCCAGTCTGGGACATAGGGGCATTGAGGAACCAAACTTTGCAGGCCTCCCTCATGTCGGCCAGACAGCCAGAAATAGCGCTCCTGGATCACAAGTGTGGACATCGCACGACCCAGAGGACTCGCTTTGACCTTCGTCGTTCGGAGCACGAGGTCAGTTGCGGTTCGAAGCTCTTTCAGAACTTCCAGATCGTGACCACCCTCGTGCAGGTCCCTCAGTGCCTTGGCCTGATGAACCTGCAGTAACGCCATTGCGTGTAAGGCAGATGCAGACTCTTCACAAACCATATAAGCACTGCCGGTCAGACCAGACGAGTGCCTACATGCTCGGGAGGGAAGTGCAGGTCTCCCCACCAGGAGGAGACGGTACTAGGACACAATTGCATCGCTACCGACCACTCCACCAGGGGGATCACTGCATACCCCTTAGCTGTACCAACATCAAGGGTGATGAGGGAGGAGGAATTAACAGGCCGGTTTCTGCCAGTAAAAGGTGCCATCCACGACCTGGTAAGCTCCTCATGCACCTCCGGGAAGAAAGGCACCGGGCGGGGTGCTGAGAACCAGCACGAGCAACCCCAAGAAACCAATCGTCCAGCCTCAAGGCTTTGGGATTCAGTGGAGGGTTCCACTTGAGCCCTATCCTCTCGGTGGCCCGGGAAAGCATAGCTGCCATTTCCCGATTCGATTCAGGCTTTGCCACCATCCCAGAGGGCGGCAGCGCAGCCGAAACTTCCTCCAGAAAGCTCCCCCTCCAATGCAATGATCGACATCCGGTCATTGGGAGGAGTGCTGAAGGATACCGCTGGTACGCGCTTTGAAAAGGGCCAAGCGCATTCCTTTGGCAGCTTGACTGGTTGTGGAGCGTGAGAGGAGCGATGGTCCCCTGAGGGTTGGTTCCCTGGAGGATTTGCCACCACTGTTACTCTCAGACTGGCCGTGCTACTGCCTGAATGGAGCTCCGCCCCCCTCGAGGTAACGAAGCCTGGTCCGCAGCTCTGAGATGGTCATCTTACCACAATGGGAACATGATTGATCCATGAACGCCATCTCAGCATGCTTGATGCCCAGACACTTGAGGCAGCGATTGTGACCATCACCCATCGTCTTTACAAAGACGCACCCGTGTATGCTCTTTTAGAGAAATTACTCTTTCAGGGAAATGCTCTTTTACGTGCTGAGACGCACAGGGGAGATGGCCGCTTGCAACACAACAGGGGGTAGTGTAGCCTGAAGTGCGCAACACACTCGACACTGGAACGACCACCGCCAACACAAAAAGCTCCCTTAGAGAGCGTTGAACTCATCGTCACATGAACAGTTTGGCAAGAGCAGAATGAAGTTGTTGCTCGGCTCTGAAGTGAAAAGTTGGTATGCGTTGCACCTGCTGCCTATTTATGCTCGTGCTGTCATCAGCTGGATGCACTCATCGCATGTCAATGTGCATTGGCTCGTTTGGTTTACACTCGAAGTGGATTGGTCTCTAGAAGCGAGATCCCAGTGAAATGTGTCCAGTGACATGACTCGTAGTGACCGACTGAAAGGGAACTAATGCCGAGTTCACACTGCACGATTTTCAACACTGCGTGACTATCTGGGGTAGCATTCAGTTGCTGCTGTGTTCACACTGCAGGATGGATCGACGACAGGGGGTTTCACATTGCATGACTTCACAATAGGAAGAATCGCCGACAGCTCTGTCTGGTGCAGGGTTGCCAGGTTTTCTCTACAAAACCTGCCCAATTACTACTCAAAACTAGCCTGAAAATAGCCCAATTGCTTTCGAGGGTGTCCCCCAGTAAAAATCGCGTTCGGGGGTAAAATAAAA